TATTATCTTATAGTTCTGTAGGTAGGACAGAAGTCTGACATGGCTTTCACTGGGCTAAAATCAAGGTGTCAGCAGAGCTGTGTTCCTTTTTGGAGGTTCTAGGTGAGAATTCTTTTCCTTACCCTTTCCAGCTTCTAGAGGCCCCCACATTCCTTGCCTTATGACCCTCTTCCTCCATCTTCAAAGCCAGCAGCGCTGCATCTCTCTGAGTCTTTCATTCCTAGTCACATCTGCCTGTGCTCTCTCTCTGCCTCCCTCTTCCACTTTTAAGGACCCTTGTGATTACATTGGGCCCACCTGGATAATCCAGGCGACTCTCCCCATCTCAAGGCCAGCTGATTAGCAATCTTAATTCTCCTTTGCCCTGTAACCTAACATAGTCACAGGTGCTGGGGATTAGGACGTGGACCTTTTTGGGGGACCATTATTCTGTCTACCACACCATTTAATTACAAATTGTGCATTACGGAAGCTATTGGCTTAAATGGGACTGTGACCTGTGCACAAGTACAGAACCATGGCATTTCTTAGAACTATCCTATTCTGAGTTCTGTTCTTTTCTGCCTACATGTGTTTGTGTTTGCTTTTTCCTCTGAGATGCCCTCCTCTTCAGTCTCTACATGTCCATATTATAGCTATCTTTTAAGGCCTTGCACAAATGGTGCCTAGACTTTATCAGGTGGAAAAATGAAAAATAAATTTAGCTCAGAATATTTCTACCTTTAGGATTCTCAACTGGTGCCTAATTGAACTTGTGAGGGAGCCACTGCATTAAAAATTAGTTCTGATATCTTTATTTTTTTATTTTTTTTTTATAATTTTATTCATTTATTTACTTTTTTTCCCCCAAAGCCCCAGTACACAGTTGTATGTCATAGCTGCACATCCTTCTAGTTGCTGTATGTGGGACGCGGCCTCAGCATGGCTGGAGAAGCGGTGCGTCGGTGCACGCCGGGATCCAAACCCGGGTCGCCAGCAGCGGAGCACGCGCAATTAACCGCTAAACCACGGAGCCGGCCCCAGTTCTGATATCTTTAAACATAAAGTATTCACCCTCGATTTTTCAGACACTTGTTTGGATTACAAAAGGAAATAAATGAAAAGAGAAAACCAAACCCTCTAGGCACCACTGAAGAGGGACAGAAGGAAGTGCTTTGAAAACAACAAGGGAGAGTATTCTGTTTCTTTAAGGCCTAGTTTAAAGTAAAAGCAGACAAGTAAGAGCTGATATGCAAAAGAGCAAAATGATAAAGTACCCTGAATAGTTTGCAAAAGGCTGGGATTAAATCATGGTTCTAGGAAGAGTTGCAAGCTTGTTCAACGGCAAAAACATAGAATCAGATACACGCTCTTGAATCCCGCCTCTTTCAGTTAGTCATATGACACTGGGTGAATAATTTAATTATTTTAAAACTATTTCCTCATCTGTAAAACAGGAATTATGAAAGTGACTACTTATAGTGCATGACAAATAATAGGCATTCAATAAATATTTATTGCTCTGTGAAAGAGGATTCAGAGAGGTGAAATAACTTGTTTAAGTTTATACACATAGAACCAGGCCCTAAAATTCTAGCATATTAAAATTATTTTGCTGGCTTTTAGTTGTTTGGAAATATATAAACTTTTCATGGTCCCTGTAGCACATCTCTACAACTCAAGAATAGTTGCCCCTATCCTGACAGAGATCACTACACTAACACAGAACTTTCTAGTTTGTTTCCTTGTGAATACAGAAGCATTTCTCATTTGAAATAGAGGATTTTGAAGTACTTGGTACATCAACCTGCCTCGTCTGAGGAAGGCTGAATGATTCCATCCTTGGCACTGGACATTGAGATCCAGAAAGTGGAACAGTGCTTCTACATCTTATTGGTCTAAACTGTGCTGAGTGTGGTGAAAGAAGCTTTTAAACAAATTAAATCTCTCTCTGAAACAAAATTCTGAAGCCAATGCCGTGGATACCAAATTAAAGGCTTAGGGGATATGTCAGGGGTCTTCCCATTTTACAGTTGTCACACAGGAATTTGTTTCCCTTTCATTTTGGTTTACATACTCCTCTACTTATCACAAACAGTTCTCGTTTTAAGGCTTAGTTCGGTATCAGTTTTTCTGAAAATTTGCTTAATGTGGTCTGGCATATTGAAAAACTGAATTGGAATAAAAGCTAGCGTCTTGGGCGTCTCTTCTCTCTGGGCCTTTGTTTTCCTGATTGTAAAGGGAGAGAGCTGGGCTACAGGGTCTCTAAGACTCCTACCATCTCTAGCATCCTATGACTCTATAAGCACGCACCCCCACCCCCGCCCCCACCCCCGCGCATGCCCTGAGATATTAGAGTATAAAGGGGTGAGTGGGGGGGTAGGGACAGATAGTTTGGAGAAGGGGAAAAATATTGCAGGCAGGCAATTCATTTGAGCTTAGCACATCCAGTAGACTGTGCAAGATGTGGGAAGAGAGGGTGGGAAAACTTGCTAATAGAATAAAAGGTATACTTTGCTAAGGATAGGGTCCAAGCAAGCCTGCATCACTAAAGCCTTTGAAGCCAACCTCTGTGCCCTATTGTTGAAAACCTACCAAGAACTGGGAATGAATAAGACCTCAGATGGTTATATTAACCACATTTCTTTTTTCTTAAGTTTGGTTTTGTTTTCATTGAAATGTATTCAGCAGGCTAGACACAGGCTTCTACTTGCTTTGCTACTAGCATGTGGAGACAAGCAGCTACAGAAAAAAAAATGATTACTATTTCACTCTTCTATTACTTTTGGTCACAAAATTTGACTCTATATCTCAAAAAGTATGCCATGTGTTGTTACATAAGAATCAATATAAACAAATATTGCCTGCTACACACTATAAACTTCATCCAGACCAGGCAATTTAAATATTGGCCTAATCTGGGCTGTACAGTTATGAACAATAGAATGGGAAGTTACCAATTATTTGCTTAAAAGCCAACTTTACAAAAGCTGATTTATATTTACCTTGACGTTTTGTCACGTATATAACCCAATCAGACAACCAAAATATAAGAATCAGGTCCTTAAACATGTTTTTTCATTTTCTGCAGAGTTCCAGAGGCAGTAAGAAACACAGCTCTGGGAGTGCCTCTGGGCAAAAGATAAAGGAGGTTACAGCTTGTGGAAGTGGTAATTAGAGCCAATTACAACTTGACTTATCTGCTTTGTCATTAAAATACCTGTCAGACCTCTCATTTTTCTAAAGAGGAAAAGAAAAGGTAGAGCTTAAAGGGGGACAGGGTTAGCCAAAGGGGATTTCTAATTCTGTTCACAAACTTACCCTGTAACCTTAGACAAACACATTGCCTTTTGGCTTCAAACTGTGCTTTGCTCACAGTTAAACCCTAACTCTTGGAGCTGAAAGGGACCTCAGGAAATCACCTGGTCCAGTCTCCTGCCTTCAAGAAAGCAAAGTATTATTATAGTCCCATTTTCCAAATAAGACATGAAAGACCTAGATAATTTAAGTAACTAGAATGTTTTCTACCTCCTCAGTGCAACGGATTTGATTTTGGTCTCACTTTTAGCTTAAGTGTCATGAGGAGAATGTAATTATTCTCCTCACTTTTCTCATAGATATATATGCTGTATGCAGGTTAACACATAATAACCACAAGACACTTTGAAAATACCAAGGGAAGCTTATAAATATAACATTACCAACAGAGATACTAGCACTTGGAATGGATGGGTCTCAAGGAAAAGTAACAGCAATGGATTTAGCCCTTTGAAGAATTAGCTTGAGGAAACAAACAGAATTACACCCAACTTAATTAAATGGACCAAACTCACTTTCCGTAAATGTTTAAGGGTATAATTAGGAGTAACGAAAAATTGAGGAAAAAACAGGAACGTCACTAATCGATTACTAAGTTTGAGAGTAATCAACAAGAGTTAAGTGAAATTTGGTGTGTAAAATCAGAAATCCTGAACAAAGTGGGCTCCTTGAGGAAGGGTAAAAGGAAATAGAAAGGTTTTTCTTACAACTTAAAAAGTTCACTATCCTATACAACATCTATTTTTTTTCCTTTTGTCCTTAAAATTGTAGTCTGGTCACCAAATGCCTGAACTCATTATCTATCTTCCTGTCTCCAATCTTTCTTCACATTGCATTCTAAACCATTCAAATCACCATCTTTACCTGCTACGTTGAACACATCAGCTGCCTCACAAACCCTTGTTATCCCCCGTATTGAATTACTCATTCAAGATTTCAAGGCCCTCCATCAATCCACTCCAATCTAGTCTGTCTCTTTCCCGACCCTTCTCTACCTTTGTTCCTTTTCTTTCAATACTATGCTTTCTCCTCATATACCTACAACAAACCCCATCCTTGCATCTGGTAAGTCCTCTCTCTTCACCTTTCTTGAAAATCAACACGTTATTTGATATGACTACAGGGAGGGTACCGAGTCTATTTAACAGGTAGAAGTCTCTCAGTAGTCATCTGATACAATTAGCTAAAGGGGATTGGAGTCAAGCTCCCCCTCCATGTTTCTATCAGGGAGGAGAAGTGAGGGCAGAGTGGTCACGAGCAGAATGTGGAGAAGCGCTGCGGGGTAGAGACTGCTTGGAATATGTGGTAGTTCTGAGTATTAAAGAGGGCCTGCAGTATTTTATAATTTGTCTCACCCTTTCATTCCTTCAATTAAAGCTTTATTTTTATTATCTTTAATAAAGGCCTCAATTTATATGCTGTCTTCCTTGGTGAAGATGTGTAGTGGTTATTATCAGAGAGACAAATCCCTCTAGTGAGGGGAGAGTGATTTCCTTAGTTATCCAAGTAGGCACAATGGTATCAGGAAGGTTATCCCAAAGAGAGGATGGCAGTATATATTGTAAAGGAATTTGATGGCAGCACATACTCTGGAGAGTAAAACTCTTAGGCAGGGATGGGAGGTGCCATTCCATTATTAGATCCAACATGAGTAATGTGGGCAGAATTTGGTTACCTGGCAGATATTGAGCTTAGAAACAGTATATATTTTGGATTTTTAATTTTTATTCACCTCCATATAACAGCATATATAAAATGTTGCACAGACAAAAAGCATTTCTGAAACTTGGTCACTCCTTTGGGATTAGCACAGATTACAGACTTTAGAAAAAAAATCAGTGGTGGACGAATTTTCATCTCTAAGGGTAGATCTGGAGATAGCCAAAAGTCACTTGAGACTAAGTCTAGTGAATTAAGGTGGGTAATAACCTGAACATAATTTTTAGTGAAATAAGCATGTAAAAGAATGACCTATTTTACTGTTATAGTAAGTATCTATAGCCTCACAACACGCCACCCTCAAAGGAAACAATGGTTATTGGGAAAGGTAAGTAATTTCTTTTAAAGTTTTGTCTGGGGCACAGAAATATACATCTGATTTTATGATACTAGAGAGAGAATGCACCTAGCTAAGAGAAGACTACAAAATATTCAGCTTCTTTGGAGGCCAGGTAATGAGGGTTCCATCAACCTGCTCTGGCTTCAGGATGGTAAGCAGCTTTTGTATCACGTGTGGATTGGCAGACCTGCTTGACTTATATGAGTGATGCAGCTGTTGGGAAGCAGGAAATGGTGCTAGATTACACACAGATAACCAAAACTAACACAAACACACATAGGCTTCCTGGTACATAAATTATTTTTGAGGTTAGAGATCTCCTTTTACAGAATTTAGTATATAACAGATTCAAAAACCAAACTTCTTGACCTCCCAATATTAAATAACTAAATGTGCAAAAGAACCACCATTAAATAGGACATCAAAAGCTATACATTTTCTATGAAACAATATGTGCACAGATTTTCAAAGTTGTGAAAATGCAATAAAGAGCACAACACATTTTGGTCACTTTATTAAATGACATTAAATAGTTTAAGTTTCAACTACTAAACAGCACTTTGATGAAAACACAGATAGTATTATTGTCATACTTGAATGCTTTTCTTTAAAAACACAATTCCAGTCCTTATATATATTACAAAACAGCCTTAAAGGAAGAAGTGACATCTTTTCTACAGTACTTAAGATACTCAATACGGAACTGAAAAGCAGTCTAACAGAAACAAAGGCAAGTCTTCACAGCTGTATGATTTCAGCAGCCAAAGCTGGATGATGGACTGAAACATTACTATACAACTGGGACAAAACATATACAATATCACAATACTAAGCAAAAACGCTTTACACCCAAAGAAATAAAACAGGTTACAAAATGTGGAGAATTTAGCAGGCAAAACTGTATTACAAGCAACATTTTAAATCGTCATTTTTTAAGCCATTGCAACTATTTAAAACATCTAAAACAAATATAAAAATGAGCATTTTAGTATCTTATTGATGTGATTTTTGCCTTTAAATATTTGTTAAAGCTTGATGTTATACTCAAAGTACATATTATGTAGCTAAAATGTCAAGTGAGAAGAGTGTATGCAAAGTGGTCCAAAGTTTTATTTCAAACTCCAATTAATCCTTCTATGTATTATTCTTTAAGTCATATTGTCATCCATGGTGAAAAAGGTTTAGAAGGTTGCCTAAAATTTTCACATCTATGTCTTTGAGCAAGTAATTAGACCGTGTTGAAAGTTCCCAGGTCTAGTAAATCAGGTTTAAAATATTCTGGACTTGCAGAAATACCAACTGATAACAGTTGGCCAGAGTACTGCCTTCAAATATTTATTTCATAAATCTTGTCTTTTTCATTTCTTCTAAAGTAAACACACACCTTCCCGCCGCCCCCCATTAAATAAATTTGATTATATGGCTGGCATAATATCCAAATATATGGAATTTGTTAGTGATAACTCACCATGGGAAGGTAGGGGTGAATCCACCAAACCTCACAAACTCTATGTCACAAACCTAGTGCTCTGGGATGTTTTACCACTAGTTCTTTCAAGCTAAAAATGGAAATCTCTTAATCATCCAAACAACTCAAAACAGTTTTAGCTAATGGTAAACTTATTCTAATCCAGTGATACCTAGAGTAAACCCTCCACCCAGCTTTCTTTTTTCTGGAATTCCTTAGCTGTTTCCACTACCTGTTACATCATCATCTCAAAAATGGTTTTGCCATGTTGAGTTGACTCCCACAGTCTAACAATCTTTTTCTTTAAGAAACTCAAGCAACCAAATTGTACACAAATAAACTTGAAGGTAATTTTTACAGGCATGGATTAAGAAAAACAATACAATGATTTTCTAGTAAAACTTCATAAAAGGGTATTAGATGAATTAACTTTGATCAGAAAATTCCCTCACAGATCTAAACTAAAAAAGAAATCGAAACATAATTTATTTAAGAATATGTAGGTAAGCTAGGGGAAAAGAACATGATGATGCGGGAAAAGAACATGATGATGAGAGAAAAGCGGAATAGCATAGAAGCCAGTGATCCTTATCTTTAAGAGGAATTATTTCACAATACTGACAGTACTGGGAATTGTTAAAGCACATTCCTCATGTGAACTTAAAGTCAGCAATGGTTCTGCCATTTTGATGTTTATAAAACAGGGTATGAACCTAACAACCACAACGTCATCCTTAACCTCCTAAAATGCTAGAACTTGATTTTGTTAGTCCACATCCCACTGCCAGCAACAGGATGAAGCACTAGCACTGGCACCAAGCAGTTAAGAGATGTGCTTTATATTAGTGCCAGGAGAGAGAAAATTTATGTGTGGAAGATAATCCAGAACCCTGAAATTTTACCAGTAATTATTTCAGCACATATAACTGAAAATAAAAAATGGCAGAAAGACTAAAGAAGAAAAAGGAATTCTCTTCTTAGGCTGTATTTAAGGCTGTTTATACAATGCTAAGATAACGGCAAGACTCCTCCAAGTTTTAGAGCAGTAGTATTTAAGAATATTGCACACAATTCTGTGTCAAAGATAACCCTTAGTTTCTAACTTTCAGTCACAGAGATGATATAGCAAAAGCCCAATTTCAGACTTCAGTCAAAAGAACATTAAAACCATTTCAATTACTTTAATCAAGAAATGGATTAAGTACAAAAGTATTTCATAACTTGAGGAATCAACTCTAAGAACTCAGCTGTGTGTTTTTATATGTAAAGAACAAATATATAAATCTGTATTCTTCCCTAAATTCATTAATTTTATGACAATTTTATGGTCGCTAAAAGCAGGCATAAAAATTTAGAGAGGAAATCTGTGGAGTTGTTACTGTTATGGAAGGATTTGTTTTCACTGAAAACAATTTGAAATATCTTCTGTACTCAATGTGTGTAAGAAGATTCTAGGCAACATCACTGACAATTGTCAGGAAGAAATAGTATGCCCTATTTAAAAAAAATTTAAAACTAATATGGAAGATTGGCATTTAAGGGGACCAAACTATTTATACAGTTGAGTTCTGTTAAGTCATTGATTCCTAAAAAAATAAAAGATCTTTCTATGATTTTAACAATCCTTTAAGCTTTTAGTGCAAAATCACATTGATTTCCCTTGGGAAGGTCCTGGATTTTTGCTTCTCATTGGGGGTGGTGCACGCTGTAATGGTGGTGGCTGCATACCACCAGCCACCGACTGATACATTCCTCTCATATCAATCTGCTGGTAGTTAGAAGGATTCATGATTAAATTTGGAGGCTTTGGCATCATGAGGTGACCCAGTGTTGCTTGTTGATAAGTCATTTGCTGCTGTTGCTGCTGATTGTACTGCTGCTGGAGCCTTCGGTTCATAAGTATTCGCTGAACACAGCTGATTAACTAAAGAGAGAAAAGGGAGCTGTTACAAGTGCATGACCCGTCTCAAAGAGGCAAGTATCAAGTTTTGAGTTAAAATCAATTTGTTAAGGGGGTACCATAACAAAAGGAAAACACATTATTGTTATCACCATTACTAATTTGGTGGCATTCACAGGACCATTACTGTAGAAACCAGTTAGTAACACCATTTAGGGCTAAATTCTCTTAATGACTTGACTATTGTATTGCAAGCAGCATTTAGGTTAGTTGCCATAGTAACCTGACCTGCACTGTGATTAGTTTCAAGTATTAGTTACAGCACTTTTTGTCAAGTCTCCATTCTTTGTCATTGTTTTTAATATTTCACATGATGACAGACAAACATTTTTAGTGAGAAACACCAAAGGGAAAAAGCACTTGCAGTGGGAATAATTCCTACCTGGAATGTCTCATATTTCCTAACATAATTTAAAACCATATAATTGTACAGTGCTTTCTAAGTAAAATTCATGCCACAGAAATTGATTCCCTGGTGTCAAGAGTTGGAATTTCCCAGTGCAAGGCAGGTGGCTGGCAAACAACTGTGCTGAGAAAGATGATCAAGGATCTTGGAATATGCTAGCCTTTTAAAGAATTACATAATTTAGTAGAAACCTGTATCATATATCATCTATAGGTCCACTTCTTACTCTCAAATTAAATATACTAAAAAGTATACTTATTTTGGGAAGTTGTTTAAAAATAGTAAATGTGGTAAAAAGTCTGGCAAAAGTTCCTTCTAAGATGTCCAGAATATACAAAAAGTAAAATTATATGGAAGAGATCACATTTAAACTTCAAGGAGACCCATTTGGGAAGCTGTTGCTCCTTTATGATACAAGATATTACCTTTACTTAACATTAACAGGTTTTTTGACAAAATTCCTTCCGAGAATAACCAACGACCATCCATCCGTCCACATGAGGGATGGTTATTGTCATAAACATCACACAAACCCATTATTATAAATTCAAGAAAATTAAACATAACCTAGTCATGATAGTCAGAATTCTTACCATCTGTTGTTTTGTCAATACATCATTGTAGATTGCTTCTCTTCGCTTAACATCAAGCTCCTGGCTGGCTTGTCTACTTAATGCTAATGCCTGTACTTGGGCCTCTGAGAGATTCATGTTTTCCTTCCACTAAAAGAAAAAGTTTCTATTTATTTCTTATTGCAGTAAAATTGAGGAAAAATAATTAAGGTACTTAAAGATACTCAGGATTTTTAAAGTTTTTTTTTTCTTTTTCCTTTATTCTTTTCTAAAGAAAACAGTGACGTAAAAGCAGACTAGTAAGTTGTCCTCTGTTGTACAAGGGCTGGCTATCTCTGGAATGAAACTATTCGGATTTAATTTGTGCAACTGGTAATTAAAATATGTTTATATAAACAACGCATACATTTCTATGATTGATTGACTTCTCAATTCTTAGATTTTACCCATTTCTCTTTTGTGCCAACATCTAGCTAAAATTGCTGTATTATAGCTTGGCACTATTATCCAGTTTACTGGTATTTTACTATTGTAAATCAAGTTATAAGAATTATGCTCTTTTCCCCACAGAAGTAGTGAAGCAAACAACAATTAAAAATTAAAACAAGTGGTTGGGGGAAGAACACAAATTGCAAGTTGGAATAAGATAATTGACAACTTACTACAGCTGAAATTATATCTTCAAGCGGCTGAATCCTCACTGCTGTCACACTGTTTGTTGCTTCCACAACTTTTTCTCTTCCTTGATTAATGAGGTCCTAGAAGAATGCAGGAAATAAGTTATATAGGGCATACAAAAGCACAGTTTTAAAGTATAAGGATCCTTCTTGCCAATTTATAGCACTTGGTTTTAAAACTCTTTAAATAACTGAAAAGAACAGCAAAGTTCAATATGAATCAAGTGGAGTAAAACTCATCAGTGAGGGTCTTGTTAGGAAGATAAAAGTTTGGGTTTTATTACACCAATAATTTAATAATTTAAATGACTTCATAAGAAAATCTTTAAAAGGAAACCACAGATTCAATTAAGTTATTAAATTATTGGTATAATAAAACCTAATCTTTCTTATTTAATTAATAATTGATTCTAGTTTTAAATCACTCATTTCATAATACTGGGCATTATCATATACTTAGTGCTGCATCTACATGACATTAGAATGTAACTCAATGTATTTATCCTACTTTCAAATATTAAGCAAGTAATTTGTTTATTCAAAACATTTTATAACTGAAGAAAGTGCTATTTCCCTAGCCAGTCAGCTGCCCTTTTGTTCCTTAATTAAAGTAATTCAAACTACATTAATTCAAGGCCTGATTCCTTTGTGCTCTGAACAAACCACATTTTACTGTACTATGCTGGTTCAAAAAGGTCAACAAATAAAAGAAAAATTTCTTGGTCTATTCAGAGGTAATCTTTTGGAGAATGTGATATTCCTGCGTAGAGAACCCTCAACAACAGGGCACTTGAAATTGCCTTTAATTCAAGTTAAACTACTTTTGTACTTCACAACTTACCTCCAGCTGTTGATTACTCATTGCTGACAGGGCTCCCAAATTGAAAGGAATATAAGGAGTTTGCGAGTTGAAACTGACGGGGGGTAAATTGGTCCCAGTTGGTATGTTGAAACGCATGGTCAGTCCCTAAAAACAAAAAATTATGCACTTTCTACAGTGTGATTTAAAACTTGAAATTCTACATCACCTACTGGTTTAGAAAAGAATCCACATTCTCAGATATAGGAAATTATTAACACTCGTCCACACACAAACAAAACACCCTTTTCACCCGAAACCAAGATCTTATTACATGGAAAGCTTTAACCCCTAAAGGTGTACTCTTTTTCTGATAATTCCCACAGAATAGGGCAACTCAGAGAATTCTGATGAGACTCCTAACATCACATTAACTTTAAAGAAGTTTGGTACAATGAGTTAGGAGTTTAAAAAGGATTCAGGTATTAGGATAAGGTTTCCCATGCTCAGGCACATTTTTGCTCAAGTGGGTAGGTGTTTAAAACAGATATGAAACTATTTTAAATAAAGTTGCTGCTGGAGATTGACATTAATTCCAATAATGGAATATTTTTGTGTTCTGATATTCAGTCAAAATTTAGATTTCATGGTACACATGCTAAAGCAACATTTACTCCCACCTCCAAACTCTGAGCTCCTGTATGTCTGTTACTACAGTGAGGGTGTTGATGGGAGTTAAGTGATGCTAAATATATAGCTTCCCACTAATCTCCCAATTCAGCAAGTGCTAAGCAGAAATGGGATTACTACTCTTTAAGCGGAAAATATTTTCTTCTCTCCTCCCACTCTACCACCAAAGGTAGCCAAAGCCCATAAACAGACTCTCATATCTGGGGACTGTTCCTGAAGACTCACTATATTATTACCTGTTCCAAATGTGACCCTTTTCTTCCTCACTGCTCTTTCAAACGACTAACATAAAAACAAAAACCAACAAGTATTTCAAATGAACTACCTTCTTCTCTGCTTCATATTCAGCCCAAGCTGCTTTTCTTTCTTCTTCAGTCAACTCTTCTTCTTCTTTGTGGTCCAAAAGAGAATCATGTTCATGATATCCTACAATGTGTTCTTTATGTATTTGAAGAAGTTCTGCAAGTATGGTATCCTGTTTAGAGAGGGTTAAAATAATAGAGAATTATTTTCTCCCTCTGGATCATATCTCCATAGTTCTTTGGTCTACTATTAGACTAGAAACTAGAAACTAGCTGCAAACATATTTCTAATATATATGATAAATTACCTAGAAAACAATTGCAATACATTCAACACCAGCCTTTTATGTAAGAATAAGAATGTCACGTTTTATAGCATGTTTTAGGGGTTCAATTTTTTTAATGACTACTTTTCAGCTTTCAAGGTTTTTTTATCCACATTTTGTTCTGTGCTTTGTTCTGAGTTGATAATAAATGCTAACATCTGCTTAAATCAGAGATTACACTGGATGCTTGTGCTAAAAATCATGGCTACTCCTGTTTATACATATTTAACAACTTTAACAATTACTTAAGCTACCAACCACCATACTAACAAAACCCAAATCTAAATTAATCTTAAACAGCTACAGGACAGTTTAAGTAGAACATACAGTCCTTATATTTCAACTGTAGGAAGGTCAAATATAAACTATACTGGAAGGACCCATGGGTCAAATTTAAACTGATATACATTGTTTATCAATTTATCATCATAGTGTCTTTTTTATCAAGTCGTAGTGTCTTAAGTCAGTCTTTTAAGGTTAAAAAAATTAAAGGGTTAAAATTTATATACTCAGTAAGAACACCAAACTCCTGCTCTGTGTAATTATTATTATGAGAGAGAGACACAAAGAGAGATTGGGGGGAGGGGATTAAAGTGAACCACAGATATGTTACTTGCTAATAAAAAATTAAAACATTCACAAGTTGTTTATTAAGAAATTACAGATGAAAGCATGGACATATAAAAGGCAAATTAATTCACTTTACAAAACGTTTTTCCATAGATTCGAATAGCAAGTTCCCTTAGAACACACTTTTTAAATTGAGTGTGAATTTAGTGAAGGAACGTAAATAATTACTGTCAAAGGAAGGTACAGGGAAGTATATAGCACCTTAAATTTAAATTTAATCTGCATCTAGTAATGCTTAAGGCCTCCATTAGTTTTAGCATAAACAAAGCTGACTTGAAAAGAATTTTGTCTTTATATCTTCAACTATACCTCGAGTATAGGGTCTAACACATGGTAGGAACTCAAATGCCTGTTAAATAACTCACCATGAAAAATTCAAATCATGAGGCAAAAGCAAATGCTGAGACTAATTCCAAATATTCTGATATTTGGTATCATGTAAACAACTTTTTATCTTGCTACCCAATAAACACTTGACATAATTACTTCATGATTTCATGAAACAAAAGGAACTGATTTTCTTAATAGATACAGCTGTAATTGAGATTTTGACATGCATGTGCTATTTCTTTTGTTGAAAACAGAAAACATTAAAAGACCATACAAATGAGAGGGCTCAAGAAAGTCTAATGGTGGAATACATAGATGCTAACAGGTTTAGTTCTTTTGAAATGTTAACTAAACATCTCTCTCCTACACCAGTGTAGAAATCTGCCATCAAAGCTGACTTCTCCTATGCCATATAGAACAGGTTTATCGTCACCAGATGTATCTCCAAAGTTCAGAGTTACTGACCAGGCAGGCAGGGAGACAGGCCAGTCTGAATTAAATTCTATTAAAAGATAATGCTTCCTTAGATGTGTGTCTCCCATGCTCACCCTTGAAGCATGACTGAAGAGAGGTATATAATAAAAGCAGATACTACTGACTAATATTTTTAGTAAGTGACCACACCAAATACAATTAGAAAAGTCAGCTGTTCTACAAAATACCAAATAAATTACAAGGTAGAAATGGTCTATGGATAATCCCTAATTTGACTTCTGTCTGGCAATAAGTGATGTTCTTAACCATAGTCAAAAATCACTTCATTTCTGTAAGAAAGCAACCGAAAGGAAAGACCAAGAGAACTGTGTGCTAGGAACTGAATTATTTTCAGCTGTGCCACTAACTCTCTGTAACACTGGATAATAACTTAGTCTAGCTATGACTGTAAGTTAAACATGGATGAAATACTCTCTGTTCACATACATAACAGGGTGATATGAGAATAGCAGGAATAAATGAAACATCAAATTCTTTGGAAATAAACACTATGTCAGTTAAGTGTAGTGTTTATTTCTCAATTATAAACACCATGGTTTATACATTAATTACTTTCTTATGGTTAGAGAGAAAGCCTTTCCAGAAACGTATGTATGCAATGTGCATATGTGTGCGCATGCAGACACGCACACAAACACACTCACATATTCCCTTTAAAAAATGTCTGACATATCAGGGAGCTTTATCAAGTCAGTCCTTAGCATCCTATAATTTCAAAGTCCAAACTTATCATTTCGGAATTGGTAGAAACTGATGTCCAGAGAGGTAAAGTAACTTTTTTCCAATCACACAGCAAAGGACTAGCTGGGACTAGAAGCTAAATTTCCTGATTCCTATCCAGTGATCATTCTATCACACTATAAAGAATGACTGTTTTCTTGAGGCATGGTTCCTCCATTTCCCAGATCTATATAAGATCTTATATAAGAAAGATAATCCCCTGAAGGATTCCAGAGGAGGGAGAAACCTAAGTAGTTCTTTTTTTTCACTTTTAGCACTTGTATACTTTTTATAAGTTTTATTAAACAAGCATATGTAAATTTTTTTTTTTTTTTGGTGAGGAAGATTGTCCCTGAGCTAACATTCATGCCAGTCTTCCTCTATTCTATATGTGGGATGCCACCACAACACGGCTTGACGAGCAGTGCGTAGGTCCACGCCCAGGATCTGAACCTGTGAACCCAGGGTCGCCGAAGCGGAGCACGCGGAACTCAACCACTACGCCACCGGGCAGGCCCCAATATGTTAATTTTTTAATAAAAGAAAATATAAAACTGAAACAAACATGATTCTCAGACACAAACTTGTAAAAGGCCAGTTCATGCTTAGCCAAAACCTGACATGAACTATTTTACCATTTTCATCTTCAGGAGATAACTCATTTTACAAAACTCCATTTCTAAAACCTTTTAATGTCTTCTCCCCACCAATTCCAGATTTAAGATCTATCCTATCAAGTCAAACATGATTGCCTAATTAGGGTCAGATTACGGTAGAGGTTCAGCTTCTGCCCAGGCAATAACTTTCCTTTTGACCTACAGCCAACTAAAATACCAACAAGTCAGAGGAAAAGTGCATGTGACTTTGTTTTTTTTTTCCAATAAAAAAATTTGAACCCTTTTCCTAAAACATTACCTCTCTCCTAACATCAAACTAACAAACCATTCATATTGCTTCTACTGCCTATGACACTTCCTTCTTTTCAAAGAGTTAAAAAAAAATTTTAATGGGAACAATGCTAATATTCTATTATAAAACCCAGAAATAACTACAGGTAACATTTGCTGTCTATTCCTCTATAAATTTACACTTACACACATACACTTTTACATACAAATGGGATTGTAATATACATAGTTTTGAAACCTACTTTTCTGCCTTAATGTCTTTCCATGGACATCATTTTACATCAAATACATACCTTCATCATTTTTAATGGCTACAAGGTGCTAACATTATATAGATACACTTTATCATCTATTTAACTACCCTCTTACTTAAGAGTTTATTAAGAAATTTAGGCCACTTCCAGTTTTTAATTATTACCAAATCTGTAATGAAATAGGTTAATGGATAAATTTTAATGTATTTCAACCAGTTGTTCATACAATAATTATGCCGATAATACTCAAGGACTTAGACAAGTATGTTTACCACAATCTTCATTTGAACAAAGAAAAGACACTACATGTAAGTTAACTGACTTGTATAGAAACAAGATTCATTTATACAGTTCAGAAGCAGGAAAGCAGAAATTTTCCTTTCCCCCAGAGTGCTGTGTAAGACACAAATAAGAGAAAGAAGATACAGGATTTCTGATACAAACTGTTTCTATATCTTTCCCTTTCAAATTAATTGCAGCATACCGTCAATACAAGAAACAGATGATAAGATTAAGAGGGCAAAAAAAAGTATTTGTAACAGGATCCTCAATATTTCTTTGGGAAAAACAGCTTTGCAAAGTCTAGAGCAAGTCATCAAGTTAATAAAAAAAAATTTCATCCCAATATACAACACAATCAGTGGAGAGGTTTTTGTTTTTTCCCCTTGAAACATGCATTTATATTAGTTGCTATAGTTACACTATTATTGAAAACAATACTGGAACAGAATCTATAATCACTAGGCCAACAGTCATCAAAATGAGGTTTAAATTATATCCAAACGTGTACCTTTACTTTCCTTTGTCTAAACTTTATTTTTCCTTAAATAAGTAAAAAAGCTTATAAGCTGGGAAAAGCATGGTCTATATTCTAGCTAACGACCTAAATTAGTTTAAGCTTTAAAAATGACTAGTTCAATTAATAAAACAAAATTAATGATAAATTAAAAGTTTAAGTTAATTTATTTAGAAGTTTAAACTATTTGGCAAGCTGACAAAAATTCCCATCTAATTAATTCTGAAATTCAACCTTGAAAATAAAATTTTTAAAAAACAATCAAGGCTTTGCCTGAGGGCAGGCAGCGGTTTGCCATGTTTCAAAATATTTTGTTTGCCATCACTTTGAATTTGAGTTCTATAATATCTGAAGATAAATTGTCACTAGAATACTTAAGTGCCACAGGACCCACTCAAAATAAAAAAATTCCTTTTATTACTTAAGTAAGTCTAGATTCTTGGTAAAGAAACTTAATATTCCTGGTCAAAAAAGTTTCTACTTTTAAATTTGAAGGCTGTTTCTTCCTAAACTACACTGGAAAAAAATGCAATGTATTTGATAAGTAACTAGAGAGCTACTGAATAAAGTTCACATACCACTTCATATCAGATTTTTAGGTCAAGAACACAACCTTTGCCAAAGAGCATTTATAAATATATCCAGATTCCCAAATTGTAGGTATGAATAAGATAGTGACAATTACAGAACTTGTCACTTTCAAGGAAAGAAAAG